AAAAAAAAAAAAAAAAAAAAAAAAAAGAAAAAAATATATAAAATGCTCAACTATTTATAATGATATATTTACAAAATTATGGATAATACATAATTAAAAAAAAAAAAAAAAAAAAAAAAAAAAAAGTACATATAAAAAATAGAAACTCAAATTAGAATATAAACATCTATTAATACTTTTTTTTTTTTTTTTTTTTTTTTATATATGTATTATTTCTTGAAAGCTCTATATATTCATATCTCTTATTTTTTCTAGTTTCTAAATCCTTTTTCAATAAAAATTATTAGAAATATTTATATGTTAATTATAATAAAAAAAAGTTTCTATAACCTTTAATTAAAATTATAATATCATTATCTGAATATTTTTATAAAAATTACAAAATTTATAAAATAATAATTTCTTAAAAAAACCTTTAAGAACTTAATAAATTTTTAATACTCTCTTCTTATTTTTTAAAAAGGTATTATAGAGTTAAAAAAAAAAAAAAAAAAAAACATAATACATACAGTATTTCTTAAAAATGAGAATATTCTTAAAATATTAGATTAGAACCTTTTTAAAAAGGAATATACATTAGGTTCTTTATGTTTTAAAAACATAAGATTAAAATTTTAAATTTAGGTCACTTAAACATTTTTTGGGATTTTTTTTTTTAAGAAATATTATTTATAATGATCCTTTTTTTATAATTATATTTTTCTTTATTTTCTAAAAATACCTTACTTATACTTATTAAAGTTTATTTTATTTCTAATTATGGAAAAAAAAATTAATAGATTTATTAATTTTTTTTTCTTTTAAATATTTTTTATAGAATTACATTTTAGCACACTAATTAAAATAATTAGAATAAATAACTTTAAATAAGAATTTTTTTTTATTATATTTTTATATTTCTTTACATTTAAGTTTTTCAAGGATGTGATTTATTAATTTTACTTAATCCAATAAAAATAATGAAAAGTATACGTAATTTGTAATATTTCAAATTATTAAAAAAAAAAAGAACTTTCTTATATTAGGCTTTTTATTAATATTTTCAACAGAGATGAAATAAATAACACTTTATTAAAAAAAATTCTTTTAAATATATGAAAAGATTTTTTTATTTTATAAAATTTTCCTTCTATATAAATTTTATGTATGTTATGAAAAAATTAAAATTTAAAGAAGTTTAAATTAAAGAATAGTAATTAATAATATAAAATTATATTTTATTCTATAACTAATTTATAAAAAATATTATTAGAATTCTTTATAGTTTATCACTGCATTATTTTTGAGCTAATCAAAAGGCATTAATTAAAAATTCATTGAATTAATATGTAATAGTGGTAACATAATAAAAAATTATAAATGAAATTTAAAATATATTAACATTTCTTTATGATGTGTTTAATTATATAATATATTACTGATCTTTTAATAACTCATTCTATTATACTTATATTTATCTTAAAATTTTTTTCTTTTTTATTTGCATGTTATTTAAATATAAATATTTTCTTTTTTCTTTTTTCTTTTTTCTTTTTTCTTTTTTTCTTTTTTCTTTTTTCTTTTTTCTTTTTTTCTTTTTTCTTTTTTCTTTTTTCTTTTTTTCTTTGTATTTTTCCTTCTATTTATTGTATGCATGTTTTGAACTTATATTAATCATCTCTTTTTATATATAAATTATAAATTTAAAATGTACTCTCTTTTTTAATTTCTTGAGTTTTTTTTTTTTTTTTTATTTTGTTTTTATTTTTTTAAATTAAAACATATGCCTTCATAATTTTTATGGATATTTGCTTAGAATTTCATAAAACATTATTCTTAATACAAGATATTTTATTCCTAATTTCAAAAAGAAAAATTAAAATGAAATTTAACAAAATTATACATGTTAAAACGCTTCAAAAATTTGTGTCAATAATAATATTAATATATTATTGTATGAATTATTTTAACTTTTGAAAAATTAAACTAATATTATATTAGAACTTTTATGCTTACTAAAGAAAAATAAAATTCTAAATTTTCATTAGCAAATTAAAAAAAAAAATTTACACTTAAAAAAAGGAAACAGAAGAGTTAATAGAATCTTATCTATAAATAATTATTTTAACAAAAATGAAAAGTTAATTTTTTAATCAACAATATTTGTTAAACATAATTTTTAAGAATTGTAGAATATGTTTTTATTACATTTAAAAAAAAAAAATATACTATTTTGTATATAATATAAATTACCTTGCACATAATTTGAATTATTTATCCTTTTAAAGATTTTATTATACTAAATTCAATAATAATTATTAGCATACATTTTCTAAATTTTATTATTTTTTTTTTTTTTTTTTTTTTTTTTTAAAAAANTTATTTTTTTTTTTTTTTTTTTTTTTTTTTTTTGTCTTTTTTTTAATTCTTCTTAACAAATGTGTGAAATATTATAAAATATGTTTCTTTATTATACTGTATGATAATTTATTATTCTTTTAAACATTCTACATAAGTTATTTTAGGATTCCTTATCTTATCTTATCTTATCTTATTTATTTTTTTTTTTTTTTTTTTTTTTTTTTTTTTTTTTTTTTTTTTTTGTTTAAATAGATGATTATAATATTTAAATTATAGAAAACTTTAAGATATTATAGTATATATTTTTTATTATAAAGTATTTTAAATATATAAATTTATAGGATTTGTAATTTTCATATTTGTTTTTATAATATGAATAGTTTGATTATTCATAATTATATATGATATAATATAGGTAATCTATTTAATATTCTAATTTTTCTTTTTTTCTTTACAATTTTTATTATTTGCGAAAAAAATTAAAATAATTCTGATAAAATTTTCTTAATGTTTTGTTAGTTTCATAAATGACTTTACAAAGAAATAAAATAGATATTAATGAAATAATTTAATAAATTTTATAAATTTTTTTTTTTTAACAAATATAAAAAAAAAAAAAATTAATAATTTTAATTATTAATAGAACGTTATTTTATCCTGTAATTTTGTTTATTTTTCCTTTTAAAATATTTCCTTTGATAAATAGGTTTTTACTTTAAATACTTCTCTTTTTAAGATATTATAAAAAAAAAAAAAAAAAAAAAAAATATATATCAATAAGTAAAAGATATTAGAAAATCTTAGAAACTTTTATTTGACTTAAATTGTGCACATAAATTGGAAAATATTTGATGGAAATTTTAAATATTTTTAAAGCAATATAATTAATAATAAAATATTATTCATCTTTTACTTAAAATATAATATAATAAATTCTATTATAAAAAAAAAAGAAAAAAAGAAATATTTAATAAAATAATATATATATATAATATAATTTTTTTAGGTTTATTTATTTTTTTATTTTTATTTTACATTTTCTTGAGCAAACATATTGTAAATAAGGAAATTTAAAATAAAAATGTGTGTGTTCTTTTTTTTTTTTGTATAACATGAATATGTATTGTTTTAATTTATTTACAATTATTTTTATAGAAAACTATCATCATACTAACTTAATTTAATTTGAAGTTTTTTTTTTTTTAAAAAATTTTTGTTAAGCATATTTTTTTTTTAAAAGAGAAGCTACAATATATACCATATGATTTTTTATGAAAAAAAAAAAAAAAAAAAAAAAAAAAAAATATAAACAAATAAAATAGCTCACAATTTATAAAGTAATTCTTATTTGTTTTTATTTTTTATTAGTAAAATTGTAGGTCTTTTTGTTGCTTTTATTATATTTTTTTTATAATTTTTGTATATCGTTATTCATTAATTTGTAAGTTCATTCATCAGGCACTTTTATATTTTTTTATTTAAATTGAAGAAATGTCTTCTTTTGAAAGTTAAATTAATATTATATATATATATATATAATTGTTTTTCTATTTATAATTTTTTTTTTTTTTTTATTTCATTGTTATTTAAATATATAAATTTATAATAATAGGTATTTTTTTTTTTTTTTTTTTTTTTTTTTTTTTATGTTTTTTTTTTTTTTTTTTTTTTTTTTTTTGTTAGTACAAATGTATTAAAATTTTTATATTATTTTTTTTTTTATTTTCCATATAGTTATTTTTACTTTTTATTTTTAGAATAAAATTTTAACACATTTTTTTTTTTTTTTTTTTTTTAATTTTGAATTAATAAATAAGAAGAAATCTGTTAGAAAAAACAAATGATTTAGGAAAATTTTTTATTTGTATCATTATATTATTAATGTAACAAGACTATTTAAAAATAAAAAGAATGAAAAGAGAAAATAATAATTTATCAAAATCAACTATTAACATTTTAAAAAAAAATAGTACTATAGAAAAACATGTCAACTTAAAAACCACTTCAAAAATTCCAGTATCAAATAAAGAAAAGATTCAAATAAAAAAAAAAGAAAGCACACCTTTAAGTGAAAAAAATATTATTATAATAAAAAAGAATAATTCAAATTATTCAGAAAAAATAAATACATATGATGAAGAAAAAAGTAATGAAAAGATGTTTAAATTAAAAAAAAAAAGTGAAGAAATTGATATAAATGGAAATTCTGAAGAAATGAATAATGAAAATAACAATAATGATAATAATGAAATTGTTAATGATTATAACAACGATAAAGATATTTACAATGAGGTGAAGATTAAAAAAATTAAGGAAATTAACAAAAATAAAGAAGACGTAAAAGAAAAAATTGTCAGTGATAATGATAAGTTAAATGAAAAAATAGAAAGTTATGAAAAGATATATAAAATGGAAAATTTAGTAGAAAATTATAAAAATAAAAATGAAAATGAATGTGAAAAGAAAGAAAATGAAAATAATGAAGAAATAAAAAGTGAAAATGAAAGAAAAGATAAAGATGAAGAAGATGAAGAAGATGAAAATGAAGAAAAAAATGAAAATGAAAAAAAAGATGAAGATGAAAATAATGAAGAAATAAAAAGTGAAAGTGAAAAAAAAGATAAAGATGAAGAAGATGAAGAAGATGAAAATGAAGAAAAAAATGAAAATGAAAAAAAAGACAAAGATGAAGATAAAAATGAATATGAAGAAAAAAATGAAAAGGAAAAAAAAAAAAAACAAAAAGACAAATCATATGAAAAAGGTAGTATATATCAAAGTATATTAAAAAAATTGAGTTTGGAAAAAAATGAAGAATTAGAAAATAGTCATATTATAATATTTGGTAATAAAGATGTGGGAAAATCTTCATTAATTCAATCGTTACAACGTATTTCTATGAATGGAGATATAAATAATGAAGAATTATATCAGATTAAAAGTCGAGTGTTACCATTAGATTACGCATGTTTAAATATTAGAAATCTAGAAGAAAACAATAAAGTAAAAGATATAAAGGGATATAGCCATATATGGGTATTACAGCATTCTTCTTATATTAGTTCATTAATTAAACACATGAAAAAATGTAAAAATATAAAAAAAATAGTTATATTGATATGTACAGATTTATTTAAACCATATAATATTATATCTGATTTAAATAATTGGATAGAATGTCTATATATTTTATTTGAAGAATTACATTCTTATTACGATTTAGAAGTATTTAATGAATTAAAAGAAAAATTAGAAAATTATATATATAATTATAAAAAACACATGTTTGAAAAAAAAAACAAAAATAAAAATGATACTTATGATTTAGATAAAAAGAGTTTAATCAAAATAAATTTAGCATTTCCAATATTTTTTATTATTTGTAAATCAGATGGTTATGAAATTTTAAACAATAGAACGTATCAAGGATATATTGATGTAATAATTTCATATTTACGAAATTTAGCCATAAATTATCAGGCCTCTATTATATTTTGTAACACTATAAATAAAAAAGAACCAAAAAATATAGATATTTTATATAAATATATAATGCATAGAATTTATAATTTTTCTTTTAATGAAAATGCTATATTAGATGACTACGAAAAAATATTCATACCATCAGGATATGATGATCAAGAATTAATAAATGAATCTATTAAAAATACTTTTGTTGAGAATTTTAGCAAACCATATGACTCTATCATTATTAAACCAATTTCAAATAAAAGTATCGTTGAACATAGTCAAAATATTGTTCAAGATATTTATTTTAATGATTTTTTAGAAAGTTTAACATATGATATCACCACTAATGAAATAGATGATAAAAAAGAAGATGACGATGAGAAAATAAAGAATTCAGTTATTTTTAATGAAAATAATAAAAGTAAAGAAGAAGTTAATCAGAAAAGTTTAAATAAAGAAAAAAATGATCAATCTTTGCATAGTTTTTTTCAAAGTCTTTTAGCAAAAGGAAGATCAAAATCACCAAGTGCTCCAAATATATCACCATTACCTTTGGAGAAAAAATTTTGAAATACAAAATAAGAAAAAAAATTATATAAAATAAAAAACAATAATAATATAAGAAATATTATGCTTATATATATATATATATTTATGTATTTAAAACAATGAAATTATGAAAATAATGAATTATATTCAATTAAGAATTTATACTTATAAAAAAAAAGATAAAAAAAAAAAAAAAAAAACAACATTTAGAAATAGAAAATATACACAATTTGTTTATATATTACATTACTATTTTTTTTTTTTTATGTTATTTATTTTTTTCCTTTATTTTTAATTAATTTTTTCTTTTTAATTAACTAATATTAAATATTTATTTTTTTATGTTTATTTTTATTTTAATTTTTAGACATTTTTTTTGTTATTTAATTTTTCTATTTTTTTTTCTATTTTTTTTTTGAAATAATATATGCATAGTATGTGTATGCATTTATTTATTTTTGTTATATTTTCATTCTTATTAAAATGAAAAAATATACTTTAGTATTTTTTTTATGGTATTATTGAATATACAATTCTAATTAACAAAATATATATATATACATTTATTTATTTATAAATTATATAAAATAATTATATAAATAAATTATATAAATAAATTATATAAAATAATGTATTTTTTATTTAAATATGAAAGAATCATATTTAAATAATACAATATGAATTATTATAAAATGTAAAAAATATAATTTTAACAGAAGAATAAAAATAAATGTATATTTTGAAAGAAAAAGAAAAAAAAATAAAGAATAAAATAAGGAGGAAAAAAAAAAAAAAAAAAAAAAAAAAAAAAAAAATGAATTATATAAAACAAAACTGGTTAAAACATAATTCTATAAAAAATTAACCAAGTGAAATAAAAGATTCACTGATAAACCAAAAATACTATCAATATTTCCTTTTATTTCTTTTATATGTTTATGCATAAAAGTATTTTCTATTTTTAAAGCACCAGCACAAAAATAAATAGTTAAATCATCTAATATTTTATTTATAATATTATCATTCATATCACAAATTTTGATAACAGATTCATCTATTCCAGTTACAATTCTTTCAGTTATAAAATCAATTAATGTAATACTACTGTAGCTAAAACATTTATTGTTGTTATATGATTTAAGGAAATTATATGCTTCATTTTTATCTTTTGGTTTTTCATATATTTTATTATTACAATATATTACTTCATCACCTACTAATAGTAATAATTTTTTATTTTTACTCAATTCTAAAATTTTCTTTTTTAATTCAATATTATTTTTAATCATACTTAATAATTTCAATCCTTTTGCGATAGAAATATTTGATGTTAATGTAAAAGGATCATGTCTTTTTCTGCATCCTATTTTTTTTTCATCAATTTTTATATGAATTGATAAAAAATTTAAATTGTTTTTTTTTAAAATGTATTTTCTTGAATTAGATGTAGAACCAAGAATAAAAAAATAATCATTTAAATCATTTAAGTTTTTTATGTTGGAAGAATTCAATGTTTGCATATTTGACATATAATTTTTTCTATATCTATCACATAAGTCACATTCATCATTTTTTTCATCATAGCATAAAAATAAAACATCATTTTTTTTCTTATTACTATATATATTTATGTCTTCACTTATGCATTTCATCATTTCTATCTTATTTAAATTATCATACTCTTCACATATACATGTATTCTGGTTTTCTTCTATCACAGAATTACATAATTCATCTGATGAATTTTTTACAGATATATTTTTTTTTGTATTATCAAAATGAAGAGAATTATTAGAAATTTCATTAACCTCTTTTTCTACATATACTTTATCATTTACAATATAGTTATATAAGTTACTATCTATTAAATTATTTACTTTTATAATTTTATGATTAACATTTTTGTTATAAACACAAAAAGACAAATTAGAAATAACTTCTTCATCTATTTCTAATTCAAATTCATTATATAATTGATCTTCATTTTTTATATTTTCTTCCTCCTTTAAAATGTTTCTATTATTTAATTCATTTTCTTTATTGTATATATTATTTGTTTTATATTCTTTATAATTAGGTTCATTCATTTTTTTTTTTATTTGATTTTATAAATTTTGTTATTTTTATTATTTTTTATAGTTAATTCTCAATTTTCACTTTTTCAAATATTTAATCTTATTCTTTTTTCTTTAAAAAACCTATTATTATTATTATTATTATTATTATTATTATTATTATTATTATTATTATTTAATTTTCTTATTTTATCATTATTATAATTTTATTTTTTTAAATTTTATCATATATTACTACTGATTACATATAAGGGAGAGTTTAATAATTCTAAGATGAAAAGTATATGAAGAAATTTATATTTTTCTTAAATTGACATACTTTTTTTTTTTTTTTCTAAAAAGTTTTAATTATGTCTAAATTTTTCTAATGAGAAAAAAAAAATTATTGTAAAAATAAGACATAGATAAAATAACTAAAAATATTATTAGTAAATATAAAAATATATATGTATTTTAAAGGTGAAATTAAAAAGTAAAAAAAATATATATATATAATATAATAATTTAGATAAGAAATATGAAAGAGTTAAAGTATTTAAAAATAGACTTAAAAAAAAAAAAAAAAGTTATCTTCAATTATCATGAAAAATATATATGGGAAATTATAAAACTTAAAACTTTATAAATTTAAGAAGAATTTAGAAAAATGTAGTTAAACTAATTCTTTATAAATAATAATTCTATAAGTACCTTTTAAAAAAAAAAAAAAGTAATAAATAAGAAAAATAAATAAAAGAAACAAAATGGTTTTAAAGAAAAAATTAATAATAACAATGATAAATATTACTAATAAATAAAATTATTAATTAAATCTATTTTTTCATTTAAAGAAAAAGTTAATTATTATGAATTATGAAGTGAACCCATTAAAAGTTTAACTTTTTTTTTTTTTTTTGAAATATAATGCTGAAGTTATAAAATTTTATAATTTATTATAAAAAATTAGAGAAAAAAAGGAAAAAAAAAAAAAAAAAAAAAGCATGTAAACAATTATTACATACGGAATTATATAGATATATATCTACATAAATTTTATCCATAAAAATTTTTTTTAAATTTTTTATATTTTAAATACATATAATATTTTTATTTTTTTGTTCTCAATACTTTTTTTTTTAATATGTTATAATTATTTTATTTATCTTTTATCTTCTTAATTGTTAATTATAACATAAAGATGAATTGCGCTTAAATACGCAATGTGTATTAATAAATTGTATATTTTTATTTAAAATACAGCAGTATGGATTATTTGTTAATTCAAAATATATGTTAAATTTTTTTTTCGTAATTTTTTACAAAAATTTACATATATTTCTTATTATTTTTTTTTATAATAATTATGAATAAGAAGTTTTTATTTTTCTTGCTTTTTTTTTTGAGGAGCATAGTAAAAAAAATAGAAAGTAAATTATTTTTTAATGAAAAAAAATCACTTTTTTATGAAAATTTTAGAAATCAAAGAAACAAAGAATATTTTTTTATAAAAAGAAATAAAGATGACGATAAAAAAAAAGAATTACAAAATGTCTATAAATTTAATAATGGAATTTCCTTAATAAATGAAAAATTAAAAAGTGCTAAAGAAAATATATTTTTATTTTTTAAAAAAGATAAAAATATAATAGAAAAGTTAAAAGATTTAAATGAAAAAAAAAGCACATGGTTCTTCACAGGGTATGCAAAAAATATATTTAATCATAATTCTTTTTATAATGTTATTGGACTTGAAGAAATAAAAGAAATTGATTATAAGAATTTGATTTTAACATTGAAAATTGATGTAAATAAAGTTTTTAACAAAAATAATAATTTAGAAAAAAAAAATAACTTTTCTATAATTAACGGATACGAAGTAAAAAAGCTTGTACTTTTTTATAAAAATAATGATAATAGTTTTGGGAAAGATTTTATTTTATGCACTTATAAGTACATCATTTTTTATGTATTTGATAAAGAAAATAACAAATTTTATATATTTATAAATAATTTAGGTGATGAAAATATTATTTATGAAGTAAAAGAATTAAATAAAAAAGATTTTTCTGATTTTTTCTACCTTATAGATAATAAAATTGATTTAAACACAATTAATATCATTTCTTTAAGTAATAAAAATATATTTAAAAGTCATACAAATTATATGCATAAAGATGAATCTATAAATGGTAATTATTCAGATAAATTTAAATTTTATTTAAAAAAAATATGTGCAATATTTAATAATTATGATATTTTTTTAAAAGACGACATTTATGGTAAAAATATTAAATCAAGAAACACCTTAATTTATAGCAAAAAAAATTTTGTTCTTAAAAAGAAAACTTATTTTCAACATCTGAAGAATTTTTTTATTAATAATGAGGAAGACAATAATCTATTTGAGATAATTTTTAGAAATAACAATGCATACAAATTATATGTTCAAAATGATTTAAATGATAATTCTTGTTATATTTTAAAAAGCACAAAAATTAGCAAAAAAAAATTAGATCAATTATATAGATTATTTACAAACTATGATTACAAAAAAAAAGAGTGCAAAGATAAGTTTTTTGCCTACAGTAAGACGTTATTCAGTATATATAAAAATGAACTTGAAAAGGAAAAAGAAAAAAGACGAAAAAATGAAAATAATAACACTAAAAGTATTTATATAAGTATTGGTGCAAAAGAATATTTAATTTATAAAGATTCTTCATTTCTAAAAAAAAAGGATGAAATTTTATTATTTAGTTTAGCTAAACAATTTTTGAATAATTTAATTTCATGCATTAATATATAAAATTATATTTTCCTTTAAAAATAAAATAATATATTACATTTATTTTATCACAAAATTTTTTTTTACTATTTTTAATAAATATATTTATTTAGACTAATAAATAAATTAATATATATATATATATATATATTTGTAGTTGTATTTAAATCATTTTTTTTTTTTTTATGTCTTATGAAATATTTATTTATTTTTTCTATATTTTTTGTATATTAATAAATAAGTAAATATATATATATATATATATGTATATATATATGTTAATATATATATATATATGTATGTATATATATATATATATGTTAATATACTTTGTTATATATTCTCTTATGTATTGAAAAAACTTTTATTCATTTTTTTTTTTTTTTTAAAAAAGCGATTTAATGTTTTTATTTATTAACTTTTTTTTTTTTTTTTTTTTTTTTTTTTTTTGTTTTAGAAAATAGGATAAAAATTTTCTTTTATCTTTTTATTTTTTTGTAGCTTAAAGTGCATAAATTGTGCATATATATATACTATATATTTTTTAATAGAAAATAAAAATAATGAGATTAAAAAATGTGTGAACTTTTTTTATTATTTAAACATCAAAAAGTTGATATTTTTAAAATTCCTCCAAGGCCTTTTGAAGGTCACAGGTTAACAAAAAACAACTTGCAAATAAAAATATATGTGTAATTTTTTTCTTTTCCACTTTACTATGATTATAAAAAAAAAAAAAATACTGTATACAGATATATATATATGTTCCTTTATAATTTTCATTTTATAATATTAAAAACAAAAGAATTTTAATTATTTAGAGCAGAATTATGGACAGAAAAAATATGGGAAGGTTTCGTTGTTTTATATATAAAAAATGATCAAATCATTTTAAAATTAGTGGATGAAAATGGTTATTTTAAAATAAACATTAAATTTATAATGAAAGAAAATACAAGTAATTTATGTACACCTTTTATAAAAAAAAAAAAAAAAAGTATACTTTTGTTTTTTCAGAAGTTTTATTTGCTCAGTGTGTTATTCCACATAATTATGAAACCGTTGTTGAAAAAGGTAAATAAATAAAAAAAAATTTTTAAATATATATTATAAATATATATATATATATATATATATTTATATATATATATTTATATTTAAATGATTCAATATAAAAGATATATTTTAAATATAATTTTTATAAATTATTTTATTAAACATATCTTATTTACTTTATTACTTATTTTCAGCTATAGATAGTTCGAGATATTTTTCAATTAGAGTTGAAAACACTAATGATAAAAATGAAAGTATTATATAAAAAATATATATATATATATATATATATATAATAAAAGGAAATATACATATATATATGTGTTTTCGTTTAATTTAATTTTTATTATTTAAAAGTAATTTCAAAAAAAAAAAAAAAAAAAATTAAAGTCATGTATTCTTTTATAGGAATATTCTTTGAGGAGAGAACGGTGGCTTTTAATTTTCTTTGTACAATTAATGATTTTTATAGATTTAAGTAATTAAATTAAAAAAAAAAAAAAAAGATAAACAAAAAAATAAATAAAATACTTAGTAAATATGAAAATTATTAATTACTGACATATAATAATATTTTAAATTGCATAGAATTTTTAATAGTAAATTCAATTCGGTTATAGAAAAAAAAAAGTTACATAAAATGAACGAAGGTAAAATAATAATTAAATTTTCAAATATTTTCAAATTATTTTTTAAAAAATAAAATAAGAATTACTTCACATACTATTTATTTTTATTATTATTTTTATTTCTTTTGTTATATTTTAAGGAGAAAAAATAACAATAAAAATAAAAGGATTAAAAGTTAAAGAGAGGTTAGATTCTCTTTTCTAGTTTTATTAGATATAAAAAAAAAATATATATATATATATCTACTTTTAAAATTTTTTATATTTTTCAAATAATAAAAGATATTTTATTATCTTTTTTTTTTTTTTTTTTTTTCACAGAAAGGAAACAAATGACAAGAATTTTGATTTAGAATCACCAAAATAAATATTTAGGGTCATAAAAAAATAAAAAAAAAAAAACAAAACAAATAAGTTTAGAATATATCCTCACTTTAATATTATTTTAAATTTTTTATTCTTTCACTCATATTAGACATTTCTTCTAAGTGCTATAAAAAAAAAAAAAAATTGTCTTATATATTACATATTCACAAAATTAATTATTTTTTAATGTTTTAAGTATACTAATTATATATATTTATATATACATATATGTAAATTCATTGTACTTTTTTAATTACGTATTTTTTTTTTTTTAGATGTATATTTTTTTTTAATTTTATAAACAATTATAAATTTATATAAAATAATAATTTTAAAATAAATATTTTCCTTTTTTTTTTTTTTTTTTTTTTTTTTTTTTTTAAAATATTCAATTCCATTACCTTATCAATAGCATTAACAGGTCCCAATTGCCCGTCTAATTTAATGGCATGTTCTTCAGCAATTTTTGATATTAATTCATCAACCTATTAAAAGAAATAAAAAAAAAAAAAAAAATAAATGAAATAATTAAATTGTACAATAAGGAATATCACTTCTTAATTTTTTTTTTTTTTAATTATGTCATTACTTCTTCTGTTGGTGCACTAATAACCGCAGATGTTTGAACCGTATCATTTATTATGTCTGAACTGATACTCTATAAAAGTTTAATATAAAAAAAAATATATAAAAACATATGCATATATATAGATATGAGATTATAAACAAAATTGATTATATTTTTTCTTTATATATTTTTAATCTTATTGATAGTACAATTTCATCAAAAATGTTTTCTAATTTAGTTACATCATTCCCTATTTTAACTGCATTTGTTTCTGAATTTATTTTTTGTATTAATGGAATCATTACATTAACTTCTTTAACTAACTGTAAAAATTATGGTGAAATAAATAAGAATAGACAGTAAATAAAATATGTATTATTAATAATATGTTTTTTAATTTTCTATTTTAAAATAATTATATATTGACCGATGAACATCTATGGGCGCTCTCTAACCTTGATACAAGCACGTCAAGCTTGTTGCTTAAATTCAAATAATTAACTTTTTCATTTTTTTTTCTAATGCATTTTTCTGCATATAACCTAAAAGACAAAAAAATGACATATTATTATTTATTGAAAGGAAAATTTCTAAATAAAGTTACTCTAAAAAAAAAAACTTTACAAAATTCTTTCATCAATATAATTTAATTAAATCATCTATATAATTATATTTAATTTAACCTTGCTATATCAATTTTTCCAGATTGTATTGCTTTTTTTACATCTGATATCAACTTTTTTTCTTCCATTTCAGACCTATTTGATAATTTTTCCTAAAATTAGTATAGTATAAAATTAATAAAAAAAAGAAAAATACAAAAATAACATAATTTTTTTTTATTTTTTTTTTTTTTAAAAATGCTAACTAATTCTTTTGTTTTCAACTTCAAACGAAAAATATGATCTTCTGTAGACATTTTATTACCCATAGTTACAAAATATATAAAAACTAGAAATGTTTAAAAAAACATCAAATATTTAAAGGAATAATAATTATTTTTATTAAAAAAAATAATTAGGAAAATCGATTTAATCTAAATGAAACAACTTTATACATATTTTTTTCATATAAATATATTAACTATAAAAACTTTTACTACATCAAAAAAATTTTTTTTCTTTTATAAATATATAATTTTTATAGTAATAGAACTTTAAAAAATTCTTGAAGGAAAAATATTGTTAATTTCTCAAACGTATAAAACGTATAATAAAAAAAATTGAAATTTAAAAAAAAATGTTAACCTAGAAAAAAAAAAAAAAAAAAAAAAATT